ACCTCGGCGGGATCACCGACTCCGCCCGCTGCCGTCGACTGCTTCGCCCTGGACGGCAACAATCGCGAAGGCCCATGACCTTCTCGGGCTCCTCTTCGACGCCCTTCCCATCGGTCGATCTCCGACCTCGCGCATCGCTCCATTTGCACTCGCCCGTTGATCTGACTCTGCCTGAGCGGGCCTGGCCATGACCCCCTCTGGCCCCAGCCCCGCGTCGCGGGACACCTCCGCCTCCGGCGGAGAAATCCCATCCCCCGCGATGCCCGCATATCCGAATTGCCTTGCTCTGCCCAGCACCTCAGCGACTGCCTCCGTCGACGGGGGGTCCTCCTCCAGGCCCCAGGCGACGAACCCCCCCTCGACCCCGGCGGCAGCTGCCACGGGGCTGCCAACAGCCACTGGCCGCCAAACGCGATGACGCAATTGTCCCGCAGTCGCCCCACGACTCGCGCCAGGCCTCTTCATGTCGCCCTGGCTGCCTTCCTCGAATTGCCTTTGCCCCCTCACCAGAGGGCCGCGAAATCCCCCGCCTTGAACACCTGACCCGCCCGCTGCCTGGCGCCCAGCGCCGCGCGCGTCGCCCGGCCACCCTTCACCGCCACCGTCGCCGTCAGAGCTGCCTGTCACGGCTGCCCGCCGCGCGAACTCCTCGTCGCGCATCGCCGCCGAGTTCGCGATCGCCGAGTTGCCCCTGGGGCGCAGCTCCCCCGGAAGCGGGGGTTCGCGGCCGAAGACCCGCTGAGGGGGGGATGGCCCAAGTTCCGCGCCAGCAGGTTCTTGGCCCCCGGTCGCCGCCACCGTCTCGAGCCATTCGTGTCTCGTCGTGATCTGGCTGTCCTCGATGACTTTATTAAGGATCCGTTCGCACCACTGGCCGCGCATGCACCTCAGCTCCAGCGTTGCGCTCGCGGGCGTCGCCGGCCGCCCGATCAACCGCGGCGGCGCCGTCCCTCTCGAAACCGCCCAACGCGGCGGGCCCTGGGCCCGCGGTCCCCGAGCCCCTCTTGACGCGGCCATGAGAGCAGTAGTGCTGCACCCACGTCTTGTGACATAGCGCCCTGAGCACCTGCGACGTCTCCTGCCCGAAGACGGGCTCCTGCGCCACCGTCGCGAGAGACCCCGGCGAGCGCGCCAGCTCCCGGGTGGCCGAGGTCCACGTGCAGCCTGAACACCGCCACCCTGATTTTGCACTCGGTCAGCTTCGTCAAGTCAGCCTTCTCGGCCGCCGCCGCCACCGCCAACGCCTCCGCCGTCTTGCACGCGTCCCAGGCCGCGAGCGCCCCCAGCGCGATGCGCATCAGCAACGGGCTCGGGTGCGCCTCAGCGAACTTGCCCGTCTTTGCGCCGTTCCTCATCGCGCCAAGGGCGTGGACATACTCATGGCCTCCTTTGCACAACGCCTCCACCGTTTTCGCGAGCACAGCATTGCCCAACAGGAAACGCCACCGATCAGCAAACATCTTGCCCGCCCCCACCTCCTTCCGCCCCGGCGCGCACCCAGCGCGCGCCACGCGAAGCTCCCCCCGGCGCCTCGCGAGGAACGCCTTCATCTCATCCGGCGCCCAGCCCCCCCCCCCTTCCCAGTGGAGCTTCGAAGTGGGGAGCGCCGCCGAGCTCCATCTGCCTCTTGGCCAGCTTGAAACACCGCTCGACCCAGCCGACCGCCTTCTTGCACTGCTTGACCCACTCGCACATGTCCTTGGGGAGCGGGCTGAGATTCTGGAGGTTGGGCACCATCGCGCACGCAGGGGGCAGCCTGATTGGCCATGGCTTTTCTCCACTGTCCTCTCGACCTCGCTCCTCGCGCTGCTCCGATCCAGGTCTCAGCCCGTCTCCAGGTCGAAGGCGCCGAGACTCATTGCCCCCGCGGCCGCCGCCGCCGCCTGCGCCCCCCCCAGCGGCGAGCGCAGCTCCAGGATTCCGATGTCGATAGGCTCTCCACTCGAGCTCCAGCGGCCATGGCTCCCAGGCTCCGCCGCTGCTTCTTGCTCAGCCCCACTGGCATCACCTCGGGCAGGTCGTCTTCCTCTGTCACCTCGGGCCCTGACCCCTCGAGCCATCCAGCCCCCTCACCTGCGAGGTGCACGCCCCGCTCCCTCTGCGCGAAGACGCACGCGCCCTCCGTCCCCCAGTCGAGCGCCCGCTTGACATCAGCGCTCGGCGAGCGCATCTCCAACACGTAATGCCCGTCCTCCTCGCCACCGCTGGTCGTCAGCTGCGCCTTCTGCCCTATCGCGGCCAACTCGATCAAGTCCTTCTCGACATCCAGCTGGCCCTCGAGGTCCTCCGCCCAGCGCTTCGACAGTAGCCGCGGGGCCATGCCTGGCACGATGCGCGCGCGCGCCCGCGCCGGGACGTACCCAACCCACTGCGGCGCCCACGCCTGCTCGTTGGACCTCTGGATGTCGTCATTGCCGAGCCTGCACACCGTGGCCGCCCTGTCCGTCTCGCATTAGGAAATCTCCCCAACGTCCACCTGCACCGATCATCCGCCGCTCGCACACGTCCAGAATGTCTCCACACACACACGATGCCCTCTGAACATCCGCTATCGAGACACCGCACGACTCGCTTCCAACGCATCCTGGACCACATCCCACGGCATTCTCAGACAGGTCACCGAAAATGCTGAACACAACCGTACCGAACGGGCTGGCGCTGACGCACTGGATGACGCCGATGATGGTGGCTTTCGTCGGGGCCCTGCGCAATTCCATGAGCAATGGCCCAACTGTCTGCAGTTGACGCACTTCGCGCGCTTCCTCACCTCGCCCAGCGGGTCCTTGACGTCGTTGCCATTGCCGAACTTCCTGCCACACTTGGCGCTGCCGGTCGCCATCCAAGCTTCCTTCCATGCCCCAGGGTTCTTCGACCAGATTGCCAGCGCGTCTGGCGCCGCGCTCACCTCCAGGACCTCATCCTCAGGAACGTCGCCATCATCTCTCTCCGCTAACACCGCGTGCACCTCAGCCTCTGCGACCGAGCCGTCGTATTCCATCAGCGCCGTCTTCTCATCCACCAAATGAACTGCACGGCGATTCTGTCTGAGCCTCATCCTACACGTCGCCCGTAGCGCTGCCAACAGTTTGCGGACCTCCCACGACCTTCGAACCGCCGCCCGCGCCGCTGCACGGTCCGTCGACTCGAGCCGGGCCCCGCGCAACAGCGCGTGACCCTATGCCTCCTCTGGGCACGCCACTCCCCCTCCTGATGCGCTGTCGCGATAACCTGTAGCGCTCGCCAGACGTAGCTCACAGCCGTCCCGAAATTCTCCCACGCCAAGTCGCCGAGCGCCTCTGCCAGCTGGTCAGCTGGCGCACTATCCGGACACCGTTGGTCGAGACGCTTAAAATAATGCGCAATCCACCTTCCACCGCCACGTCGCCGCCCGCGTGTACTTCATCGAACGTGGCCAACGCAAGGCCATCGAGGAACGTGAAAAGCAGAGGGGCCGTGTCTGCAGCCTGCGGGTTGCCCCTGAGCGACCTCGCCTTGGCCCGCTGCTTCCATCTCTGGTATTCGCGCGGGTCCAAAGTCTCCGCCGTGAAGATGCGGCCCTTGGGGCCACCTGCTGAAATTCCCGATGCCACTGCGAGCCGCCCGTGAGCACGCGATTTTCTTCGCCTCTGCACCCGTGTTATGCGGTCTTGCTCCGCTACCGACGTTGATCGCTGGCCTCGGCGTCGGCGCATGAATTTCTGGCTGTGCCACGGGCCCCGCGCGGACGTCCATCTGGGGCGCCCCTGCTTCCTGAATCAGGAAGCCCATGGAAAGTGGGCCGCGCGTTCAACGATGGGGGAAGGAGGAGGAGGAGGAAGAAGAGCGCGAGGAGCCCGTCAAAACGACAAACAACCAGATGGTGCGAGCGCGCTTCATCATCCATCAGCTGCGCAGCATCACGGCATGCCCAGCGGCTCACTACCGCACTGACATACCTACACGGCACCAAGCGCAACGCGAATGCGACGGGATGTTCAACTACATCAAGCTTGCCTTCCGCCACAAAACGGAACCAATTTCGTATAATACGAAAATTAAATATTCGAATTTTTAAGCTAATATTCAAATAAGATTTCTCGTATTCTGAGCACTGGAGGAGGAGGAGGAGGAGGAGGAGGAGGGCGTCGGGCCTCACTCCAGAGGAGGAGGAGGAGGAGGAGGAGGAATAGGAGGAGGAGGAGCTCACTCCAGGAAAGGGCGAGCCGAGGGGTAGGCCCCTCCCTCCCCCCCAGGGAAGCTTGGGGCCCACGCTCGGGCCACACGCCATCATGCGCACCAAGCCCAGCGCCGGCTCGCACGGGCGCCTTCAGTCTCCCCTTGTCCCCAGCGCCTCCTCCTCCTCCTCCTCCTGCTCCTGCTCCTGCTCCTCCTCCTCCTCCTCCTCCTCCTCCTCCTCCTCCTCCCCCCCCAGGCTTAGCGTGCTCGCTGATTCATCCCATATTTTCCGTTTCAGTCTCCCCTTGTCCCCTGCACCGCACTTCACTTGCATACGTGATGCAGCGGATTTTCGCGTGGACATCTGTCGATGCGGAACCCCGAACCGGCGAGTGAGAAACGAAGCGCACTTCGCGTGGATTTGTTTTGGTCTTCAATCCTGGCCAACAAAAACCCGCACGAAATTCACCTCGAGATCCGGAACGAAAGTCTCCAGGACACTCTGGGCTCATCCAATCGTTTTCCGAACGAAATCCGCTCTGCGATGTTGGCGCCATGACCCTTGTCCTTTTCTCCCTGGTGCCACTTCTCCGTCGTTTGGTCGTTCCCGTCTTCTCTTCCTCACGCACTTGTTTCTTGCCCTTCTCCTGGCGAAGGCCAGGGGGAGGGCCGCGACGGCATCAGGGATCATCCTGGCAGTAGCCTGAGTCGGAGGGGGAGGAAGAGCAGGCGCAAAACATTAGGTGGTGCAAGAGGCGACTCCCGTAACGACTGCTCAGGATCCGAGGGGGGACACGCGGAAGCGCGCCAGGGGGGCGCGGGCCTATCTCTGCTGAGGCGAGGGC